TTGGACTTAGCATGCTTTGTTTAAGTGTTCCCTTTATTTTTTTGAGCAGTAGTGTTCCCTTTATTTTTTTGCGCAGTGTATTAGCCTGGAGCTAACACCATATATTTATTAGCCTGGAGCTAACACCATATATTTATTAGTCTGGAGCTAACACCATATATTAGCCTGGAGCTAACACCATATATTAGCCTGGAGCTAACACCATATATTCATTAGCCTGGAGCTAATGGTATATATTAGCTCTGGAGCTAGCACCATTTATTTATTAGCCTGGAGTTAATGTTATATTTTAGCTCTGGAGCTAACACCTTTTATATATAAAAAATTCCTGATCACCGGTTCCACCATGTTTTTGTCATGTGTGTCTTCTTGAATGGGTTTTCTTACATGTAATTTCATTGTGCTCCATACAATGACAATAAAGCCATCATCAATCAATCAGTCAATCAATGTACTGTTGTGTTCGGTCACATTTTCAAAGACGTGGCCCCAGAGCTGCAGGTTGCAGACCCCTGGTCTAAAGCTATAAACTTTGCCATGTTGTCAGTTAGTCATTTAACATAGAAACATTAAACTCGGTGCATAAAATGTTGTTCCAGTATTTAATTTGACCACATCCTGACAGAAAATGGAGCCAGTTGATCTTGAGCTGCTGCAGGATATTGAAACTTGTTCATCATGTTTTCAGTATATTTTTCTGAAAGTGTTTGCTGCCTCAAAGCGATGTTTGCTGATGTCCTGAAKGAAAACCTCCTGGGTACGGCTCGGTGCATTAGAGCAGGCGAGGCTTTTTATCTTTAATAAGTGGAATTACTGAGTGCAGTAAATGTTGTGGAGAAAACGGCACTCAGAGCCTCCTCCCTCCCTGAGCAGACGTCTCTGTTTGAACATCCTGCAGCCAGCTAGCTCCTCTGTAGCTGCTTTGGTCTTAATGTTTGCTAAATGACGGCACACCTAGCACACATGTCTGCCTCGCTCCGGCACATGCCTCGTCTTGTTCGACGCCCTCATTTAATCAGAAACCAGCTAATGAAAGCCGCCATCGTTCTCGCCGCCGGCGCAGCTGGAGCCCGACGGAGCGAGTTTGACTTGGCTCCCCGCCAGGACTTCATTCATGCCGGTGTTCCCAAACATTTGCCGAAGGGCTCCCTCATTATTGTGTTTGCCGTGGCTTTAGTCTTTGTTGAACCTGTTTGCGCTCGTGTGGTTCCACAGGCATGTTCTTCATCGTGCCGTGCACCGACAACTTCATCAACGTGGACATGCGCACCATCACCTTCGACATCCCGCCTCAGGAGGTATGGCCACGCCCCCCCTGCAGGTGACCTAACAGCATCCAGACCAATCAAGCCCCCTCGCTGATTTCACTGTGGTTTCCCTCCCCAGGTGCTGACCAAAGACTCTGTGACCGTGAGTGTGGACGGCGTGGTGTACTACCGGGTCCAGAACGCCACCCTAGCTGTAGCTAACATCACCAACGCTGACGCCGCCACCCGACTGTTGGCTCAGACCACCCTGAGGAACGTGCTGGGCACCAAGAACCTCGCAGAGATCCTCTCAGACCGGGAGGAGATCGCTCACAGCATGCAGGTACGCTAACTGTTACCTTCTCTAAAGCATATCACCTGCCACATGCTACCTGGTGTCACCTGGTGTTACCTGGTGTCACCTGGTGTTACCTGGTGTTACCTGGTTTTACCTGGTGTCACCTGGTTTTACCTGGTGTTACCTGGTGTCACCTGGTTTTACCTGGTGTCACCTGGTGTCACCTGGTTTTACCTGGTTTTACCTGGTGTTACCTGGTGTCACCTGGTGTCACCTGGTGTTACCTGGTTTTACCTGGTGTCACCTGGTGTCACCTGGTGTCACCTGGTTTTACCTGGTGTCACCTGGTTTTACCTGGTGTCACCTGGTGTCACCTGGTGTCACCTGGTGTCACCTGGTTTTACCTGGTGTCACCTGGTGTCACCTGGTGTCACCTGGTGTTACCTGGTTTTACCTGGTGTCACCTGGTTTTACCTGGTGTCACCTGGTGTCACCTGGTGTCACCTGGTGTCACCTGGTTTTACCTGGTTTTACCTGGTGTCACCTGGTGTCACCTGGTGTTACCTGGTGTTTTTCAGTTTATCGCTCAGGCCTACTCTACACCTGCTGCTTGTCTTTCATTTAAAATCACAAGTGGTTCAGATCTTAAATCCTCAGCWTGTCGGTTTCTTTCACGTAAACAAACATCAACAGGTTAATGTGTGATGYAGTCGTGCAGCTTGTTTGTTTCTTYTCCTGCTCAATAAATCAYAGAGCTTTTAGTTCCTGTCAGTTAAAATATTTATTTATCCATCAAACATTCACTCCTGGTTCACGCTGAGCTGCTGCAAACAAACAAACATTTATCTGTGCTGGAAGCCTGCAGACCTGGACAGACCCGGGTCACTCTRGTCCACAGAAGGTTTCAGCTGTTTGGGTCAGATTTGATGTTTTATTTAARAAAAGCTTTAGGGGGATAGTTTATTCAGCTCAGTTAGGTTAATTGATGTAGCATCGTCTCACAGCTAAAGTCATCAGGACACACTTTTATTTCAGRAACAAATAAAATGTCTGATTACACCATCAGGTAACAGGTGAGGGAGCCTCTCTTTTAGGCTAGGTCCAGAAACATGGCCGCCATCTTGAAAGCCACCAGATTAGAAAAATAGACCAGAGTTTTCTCAGAAACTTAGCAGCAATCAAATGTGTAAAATCTCCTGTRGTTCAGCAATTATCAATACAGACCACTTCCCATTGGAAAAAAAATTACATTAATCCAATTAAGCAGCTTTTAAGACTGCGGCCATGTTTCTGGACAAAGCCTAACAGACCCTCTACCTGCTGATGTATTCAGATATTTAAGTTTCTCGTTTCTTTTTGGAATAAAAGGATGTCCTGAGACTTTTGACTCWCCCTGATCYGTCTAAAGGCAGCTGTTTGTTGAAAACTCGTCTGAATCCAGACTTTATGTGATATAACTGTTTTTATAAAATAGTTTCAGAATTCAGTTCATTTGAATTGTTGCCTCAGAGCTTCTAGCTTAATGTAGAAAACTAAAACAGCGTTTAGTGATTTATTTTTCCCTCTGAGGCATCAGAGGGATTCAGCTCCCTCTGCTGGGCACCGTTCACAAAAACAATGTTGTATTTTTGGTTTGTCTCCTCAGTCCACGCTGGACGACGCTACGGACGACTGGGGCATCAAGGTGGAGCGGGTGGAGATAAAGGACGTGAAGCTGCCCCTGCAGCTGCAGAGAGCCATGGCAGCCGAGGCCGAGGCCAGCCGCGAGGCCAGAGCCAAGGTGAGGCAGGATCCAAGTCCCCTGGCTCGGTACAGGATGGACTAACCCAGGGGTGGGCAGTCCTGGTCCTGGAGGGCCGCAGTTTTACATGTTTCCTGCTCCAACACACCTGATTCAGTCACTGAACTACCTCTTCATGTTCTGCAGTATGGAGGACCGACACTGAC